GGGCCCAGAGAAAAATCATAAGGACTTCAAAACCTTGGCTCTTGGTCCCATAAAGTTTGAGGTTCTGTGTCCTACAGTTATTATTTAAGTAATGCCTTCCTGCTCAGGTAGGGAAAAAAAAAAACCTAGTCAGTGCTTGGGATATGATACATAAATTATGGATACTGTCTTATTCTGAACAGGGCTGCCTAGGACTAAACACAGGGAGAATGAGATGATGGATTATGGTTTATTAAGTTTTCTTTTTATATTTTTATTTGACAGGGATAGAACCGAGAGCCTTGCACATGCTAGATATGTGTTCTAACACTGGGCTACATCCCCAGGTCAGCACCTTAGTTTTATTTTGAGATGGGGTCTCACTCACTGTTGCTCAGGCTGGTCTCAGCTTCTTGGTTCATGGGATGCTCCTGACTCAGCTTCCCAAAAAGCTGGGGCTATCAGCTGAACATGACCACACCCACCACAGGATAACTTTCTCTTTCTTTCTTTTTTAAGGGGACAGAAGGTTGTGGTGCCATAATCACAGGAGAGGGGGGAACTAATCAGATTTGAATTTGCACACCTCAAAGAAGGAAGAAACAGCTGTAGGTTGTCAACTTCATGAGCTGATGATGGTTCTGGGAGGAAGGATGTGCAGGAGAGGGTCTGTGCTTACTAGACCACTCTTGCCTTGGCTTCTGACCATGTTACCTTTTAGCAGGACAAAAGGAATCCAGATGCGCTCTTCACAACACAATACATTTTCTAAAGATCTTTTTCCTTCCATCCTTACTCCAAATCCCTTCCATGGCAGTTTTGGGACCCCAAATGCCATCACGGGCAAGCCCTGACTTCAAGCGCATGGCTTGCAGAGGCACTATTCTCTCTGCATCCTGCAGTCACCTCCCTCCCATGTGACATGCTCCTTTTCTCTCCTTAGGTCCCTAGCCACCCCACTTTTGTCATCCCGTTTGTCTCCCCACCCCTCCACAGGACTCCTTTCTTCCATGAGGTCCTTTGCAGCTTCCTACTGCTATAAACTAAGTAACTAAGCGTTTAAGCTTGTCTCAAATACGCCCTACCTCTGCAATTACTTGATGCCTGGAATTCCCTTTATAACATCTCTTCACTGGCTATCCATCCTCTCCAAGAGCCCTCTTTTCAGACTTCTCTAGATTTTCAAAGGTCTGGAAGAAAACAGGCCACCCTTCTTTTCTTTGTGGCCTCTTCTAGATTAGTGTCCTCCAGTCCTCTTCATATTATTTGCTCCTTTGCAACATTCATTCACCCTCTTTTATTCGTCCTTTGGCTCCAAACACTACTTCAGCAGGATAACTCCATCTGCCCCATGGCAACCATACCCTTTCAACTCAAAAGACCACAAACTGCCTTCTCCAACTTTCTGGTCTGTTCTAATGACACTATCATCTTCAATTCCTTCATATCTTTCAGTAATTGTCCCCACCTCTGTGTTTCTGTGAAGTTTATATGGAAGGCCCCATGTAAACCATTCAGCACTTTCAGCTTGACATAGAGAGAGCATTCCATTACATCAGCTGGTTAATATGGCCCACAATGAATCAGTGTACAAGCTAGCCTCTGTGTCTAGCTAGCTCTGTGTCTCCCTGTTTATCTCTCAAAACCACCCATACCTCTTCCATCCTTGCTAGTCCCCTGGCTATCTCCCTTACCAAAGTCCACTGCCTCTCATCTGGACCGGGGATAGAAACTGTAAGCCAGTCTTCTTGTCTCCAGTCTCTCTCTCCACTTCTTAGTCCACCTGGGATACAAGATCCAGATAGGGTTAATGAGAAACTAACTTTGATGATGTCATCCTGCTGCTCAGAAATGTTAATGCCTTCTTGCTCACCTGGAAACCAAGCCCTTCCTGCCCAGTGTTACCTTACATTTTGAGGTTTGCCTCCCATAACTACACTCCAGCCAGACTGCAGTGGGAAATCTCTGAAGAAATCTGCTTCTCCCACATCCATTCCTTTGTGGATACCAAACTTTACCAGACTTTCAGTCTGGAAAGTCCCCATTGTCCACAAATAGCAGTCATTCTCATTCTGTGAAGACCCCTTCACAGGACACAGAAGTCCTATAAAAGGACTTCTTGTGTTTCTGTCTTTGGGGGCTTTGAACATGTACTGCCCTGCCTTACCTTCCTCTCTCAGAGCTTCTATTTTGTCTCTTATTCATCTTTCTTTTTCTATAAGTCCTTCATAAGTAGAAGTCATTCTATAAATATTCATTAATTAAAACTGAGCACCTTTTTCACTTTAAGGCAAGAGATCCCTCTCTGTTATTAGAAATCTATCATCCAGCTGGGGAAAAATCACGTAAGGGGTTTCTTTGGCCCAATCTTCATGCTGTTTGATCCTTCCCAAATACTCCAGCTTGCATTTTTTTGCAGGATAACTTAATGGTATCCACTTCCTAATTCTACCTTTTTGCTTTTCTAATTCTGAGCTACTTGCCTTACTCATCTAAAAGCATTACCTGTCCCAACCTCCTGTCTTAATCTCAGAATATTTAATACTGTCTTGTACAGAATGGTGGCTGTGGACTAAAACACTGAAGAGAATTGTTCTTCTTCAAGGTCTGGGAACCCAAGTCTGGCAGTTAGGTGTCCTGGCCATGGATTGATTAGTAGATGCAGAGTGCTGTGTAGACACAATCACAGTGCATTGCAGGGTGCAGTGTGGAAGTCCAAGCAGAATCATTCATGACATGCATGAGCTTCCTCCACCCTGACTGAGGCCATCACACACTTAACAGTCACTGTGTAAGAGGATGGGAACTTGATGTGCATGGAAGTGACTCTGATGCATTTTCTGATGGTTTTCATTAGGCAAGATGAAGCCATCTTCACGGACATGTTGCTAGCATAAAAAAAGTACATTATGTGTCAGCAATGACAGCATAATGCATTTATTTCTTGTGAGCATGGCAAAGTACCTGAGAACAGTTTATTTTTCAGAAGCCCCAAATTACCCTTTCCATTGCTGTCACATCCCATAGAACCAGCAACCTTTGTTCCTTTTAATTCTGTTCTTTAGGCTTATCCTTTATGTGTGTTTACCCATACATAAAGGATAAGTCAGGGAAAGAGAAGAAAATGAAGTGTCAAAGTGTTTCTTGTGTGTTCACCGTGGCCTTTACTTATCCTGGGAGATAAGTGTCCCCCTTATGGTGGGCCTTACAGGGGAAGAACTGAAATATCTAGCCTGAATCCTGGGAACACCCTGGGAGAGGCCCCAGTGCAGCTGAATTGCTGTACCTCCCAAACCCCTTTTGTAGTTCTCTAGTGGGGATCGTTCTGTACCTACCTGCTTATCAACACCTTCCTCTCCTGGGTGTTGGTAAGTGGGATGGATGCTGATGGAGCCTTACCAGTTTTCATTACAGATGATTGTAAGGAATGTTCAAATGATTATTCCTCACATTAGGAAGAGAAGTAGGACTGAACTACTACTGCTTGGGAGGGCGACATGGCAGGATGGAATTGCCTGTCTGTGGAACCACACAGCTCCTGGTTCTAATCCCAATACCGCCACTTTTCAGCTGAGGAACCCTGGCAAATGACATGGTCTTCTGTGCCCCACTTTTCTGCTCTGTAAAATGGGGCTAATAATGGGATTTCTTGGCACAGGGTAAGTACTTCATGAATGTTAGTTAATACCACTACCATCCCTCTACACCTTCCACCAAATTCTATTTGTATTCTTAGGACAATCAACAATGGAGCATGGGAAAGCGTTCCCTGTATCTCCTTCAGCCATTTTTCTTTTCTCACACAGAAGTCAAAAACATGTCTTCTCCATCTGTCACCCGCCACCTACTTCTCCCCCAGCTCTGTTACCACCACACGGGGAGCAAGAGAGCACAGGAATGCCTTATCTCAGAGATGTAGAGGCTCACAGATTCATCCTACCTGAGGACCCTATTGGAGTAACAATAAACTGCCCCTCTGGGGAGGGGGCGGGGCAGAGAGCAGCATTTGGGTGTTTTGTGGGATCTCTTCCTGTTCCATTTCACCCTAGCCTGGTACTGGGAGGTGACCTCAGCGCCTGCTGCCTGAGGGAACACCCAGGTCAAGGTGCGAGCCTGTTCTAGGCAGGCTGCAGGAGGAAGGGAGGGGACTGAATGGGTCGCAGGCTGCCATGCTCTGATTTAAAAGATTTTTCGCTCGAGGCATAATATCTCGAACTCGTTGTATCTCGGCGAATGACTCACGCACATAAACACAGGTGTAATATTGGCCCGCGGAGCACCTGGACATCCCAACGTGATGGAAGGCCAGCTCTCCAGTTCACTCCTTGCATTCCACTTGCGGAACTCTAAAGATCAGAGGTTAAACCATTTGCCACTGGCCTGGAGTCCACAGACCCAGAGGGTCCTGAAATCAGCCGCGCTGCCTCCAGCACCCTCTCCCCATCCTCCAGGGTAATAGTCACTGACATTGCCCATGCCGCCTTCAGAGCTCGTCTCAGACCCTGATCTAGTTATTCCACTCTGGACCCTCACTTCCTCATTTTTTCTTTCTGTCTCCCTGCCCAGGGTCTAGCAGGGCGGCTGGGTGAACAGATGCGGGGCACCCGCACCTACACCTATGCACGCATTGTGGTTAGGGAAGCCTGCAAACACCAAAGCTCGTTCCTGCAGAAATGCGCAAAGCCACAATTGCGGAGGGGGTGCTAAAAAGGGCTCTGCTCTGGGGTCAGCGGGCGCCAAGCCTCGGGCTCGGGGCGGAGCCTCACTGCAGCGAGCGGAGGGAGGGGCGCGGCGCGGAGTTTGGAGAGATCGGGGCTGGGGGTGGGAGCGGGCTCGGGAGGCGCTGGAGGCGCGCGGGGCGGAGCGGCGGGGCGCGCTGGCCTAGGGGCGCGGGGGGCGGCGGCGGGGACTGCGGAGGTGCGGCGGGACCCGGGCGGGCGTTGTAACCGGAGGCGGAGGGGGCGGAGCCGCGCTCGCAGCTGCCACCCGGCCGCCGGGCCCGGGCAGACGACACCCGCCCGCCGCGGGGCTCACACCGCGCGCAGACACTCTCCAAACAATGCTCCGAGGCGCCCGGCCAGGCAGGAGACGGCTCGGCCCCCGACGGCGAGGTCGGAGCAGCACAGCTCCGAGGTGAGCCCGTAACGCTTTCTTCAAATTCAGCTTCTTTTTGTCTGGCAAATGTGGCCGCACAGAGGGCTTTGCAGGAGCTCTGCGGTGGCCGAGTCTGCCAGCCCCGGTTGCCGTTCCCCGGGGTGACAGGCTGCCGATCGCGGCGGTGGAGCGTCCCGACCGCGTGCGCCGGGTTTGTGCCCGCCGTGGAGGCGCTGAGCTGGGAGGACTGGGGTGGTGGAGGGGTGTTTTTGATTCATTCGAGAAACGCGCGCTTTAAAACGGGGAAACTTTCCTTGGAGTTCCGGGAGGGGGACCGGCTGTGGTGATGGCTTTACTGGTCTTGCTGGTCTGGCTTGCTCTGTCTGCCTCAAGAGACTGACGCGCTTCTGGGATTACTCTCCACCGCGAGTATTGTCAAAGGAGCAGAGAGGGGCAGGCCACCAGGCTGCGCGGACCAATCCCCGGTGGGTGATGGTTGGGGGACCAGGGTAGCCACCTCTTAGCCAGCAGTGGGTCTCAAGAGGGTGCGAGGTGATGCCCTTTTTTCGAGCAGTAGTGAAGCTTCTGAAATGCGTATCGTGAGGACGTTGTTAACCTTTGCTTGTGCTGCCGGGTCCCCAGCTGGACACTCTCACCCACACAGGCGTGCGCGCACACACAGACATAGGCACACACACACACACACACACACACACACACACACCTGGAAAAGAGAACCTCTCTACTTTTGAGTCCTGCTACTGGGAATGGAGGCGGCTGAGTACTCGCAGGAGAATCCTTGTGCATTTCTCCCAGGTGAAGCTCAGGCAGCACTTGGCTTTGCAGAGCCGGACAGCAAAGCCCAAAGGTCTAGGGGAAAGGAGTTTTGCAACGCATTCAGTCCAGCCCTAGGTTCGGAAGGCTTCATTGATCTCTGGAACTATCATAACAATCTCTCTCCGTTTTCTAAGAAGGATATTTGACAGGAAGCCCTAGGGAATTCTGCAGGTAGTTTGCTATCCTGGAGTCCTGGTGCTCCCCTTGTTGGTTTAGACGGTAGTGGGTGCAAAACCATATTCCTCCATGCACAGCATTGGAGGAAGAAAATAAAAAATAAAAAGTTATGTGAATATTGTGATTTACCCTCTTGGTTAATATTGTCACTTTTTCTTTTCTGTCTGCTCAACTCTAGTCAATAGAATACATTGAAATCCAGACATTTTGCATACATATTTCCTTTTTCCATATTGCTTTAATTGTAATATATAGAATTTTTTAATGTGAAGATTTTCTGGAATTCTGTCACTTCAGGGTAAGGTGTAGCAAGATCTGATGCAAATATGTAGGGTATTTTGAGCCAAAATATTTAGTTTTGTGAATTTGGCTACCTGGGTTCTTCAGATTCTTTTGGAAACAGGGTCGGAGTGGATCTGACAGCTTCAGCCTTGTAAACTGTAGCCACAAATCTAGTGCAGAAGTTTGCAGAGGCGAAGCTATTTTATCATGACTTGGATCAGAAAGAATGCTGTGATCTTTTTCTAATCTTGCACTGTAGCCTCCCACTGAAATGGGGGAATTTGCATAATTCTGGGGGCCGCCTCCCTTAGAAATAAGGAATGTGGGCTGGGAAGGTGCCATTCCCAGGCTGTGGAGAGCTGGCACTGCCAAGGCAAGCCAGCTCTGCGGCTCCTGCTTTGTGAGTGCCACTTGCATGTTTCACCATCTTTCACTGAAAACAAATAGAGAATTCCAAGCACAGGGTGCAAATGGAAAGAATCTTTTCTGGCTCCACAGACACAATGGCAAATTCTGTCTGCTGGCACTGAGAAACTAGTTTTAACAGGGTGCAGTGAGCCAATGATGGTGGGATACCCAGGGCTTCAGGTGTTTCCCTTCTTCAATGACTTCTGCTTAAAAGTCTTGCTGTTTCTGGACAGTTTATGTGGTCAAAGTTGTGTCCAACCTGCAGAGAATTTCAGAGCAGAGGAGAGGACAAAAGAGAGTGATCATATACTAGTAAGAAGTCTCAAGGAAACTTCCAACACAATTGTAATCCACAGCCTCCCAAACTCCCAGGGCTTTTGCAAGCCAAAGGAGGAAGGGTCCTCCTTTAGAAAGTGGGGTGTCTTCTCCCCATGACAAGTCTATGCTCTGAGTTGCTTGCTGAGGAGGAAATGAGGTATAGCCACCCATGACTGCATCTTTGTGAACGCGTGGTAGTCCCTGAGGAAGTGGTTGGAGACCAGCATCCTCAGATAGCCCAGCCTGACCTAGAGCTGGCAGGAAGTTGAGGAGCTGGTGTACAAGCTCTCTTCCAGAAGTCCATTGAGGGGCATGGGAGCTTTGCCTGCAGTAGACATAGACCTGGCAGTGGCTTTGAGTGGCTGAAAAGGGCTAGTCAGCCTTCAAACATCAGTTTCCCAGGAAGAACATATTTCTCACCCCTGAAGACTCAAATACTTCCTCTACCTCCCATATCCCCTTTACAAAATTTAGCAGAAAACCTATAGCTTTCTGTGGCCTGAGACTATAGAAGATAGGCAAAACCTGGTCATGCCTCCTCCGCATGTTGAAGGCCAGTGACCTCTTCTGGAGACTTGGCAGGTGATGAACCTACTACTTGGGTATCTTTAGAGGGGAAGAACCTATAAGAAAGAGACTTATAGGACCCTTATAGCCATTGCCAGAAGACAGCTGATAGTTTTAGAGGGTTCATGGAATTTAAAGATGTAGCTGACTTCCTTGTTAACTTTGGAGGGAAAAGAGACACATTTAGTTTGAGTATGCATTGCATACGCACCTGTCTGTGAGTGTGGGAGGCAAGAAAGAGAATGCTTCCCACAACTCTGGAATGATCTTTGGATCTCCTGGCACATTCCACCTGGTTGGTCCTGTTGATTGTTTAGAGAGCATCAACCTCAACAAATTCTCACGGGACAAAGTGGAGCACACCCCCTAGGGCAAAACCCTCCCCACTCAGTGAGAATCTGTTCTCAGAATCTCAGCATTGGGATGCAGTTCATCCTAAGGTGAGAAAGATGGGCAACGAGCCACAAGCAGATAGTGGGGAGCTACTCAATATCATGCGGCCACACGAGGCCACCAGCAAGATTGCCTTCTCTTTCCAGAAGCAGCAAACTCAGCGTGGGTGGACAGGTCTCAGGTTTTTGCCTTTGCTTTAGTTTCGCATCTGTAGAATGTGGGATCCCAGCTGCAGCTTGGGGCGTTATTCAGGTTAATAGTTAATGTTAGTTGCCCTTTGAGCTCCTCCTCTGGGGGGGGGGTGACCATGGGGAAGGGACTACGGGGCAAACCCAGCTTTCAGCTTATTCTCAGAAGAGCTGAAGTTGGCATGTTGATGGGCCTCACCCCAGAGCTGCGCTGGAGAAAATAACCATTTGTAACCTCTTTTCTTATATTCTGTCCAACTGCTCCTAGATTAGGACTTTGGTGGCTCTCGATTTCTCTCCTGTTTTCCTCCTTGGCCTGCAGCCCGCAGCTCGATTGGCCTCAATCAGTTCAGAGTTGAATGATGGATAATAAGCAAGGGGAGGGGGAGGAATTGAATTCCCAAGATGCCAGAGCTCCGGATAATGTGCCCCTGGGGGTCAGTTCAGCAACATGCCTCCCCTTTCTCAAACATTCTCAATCCTAGCTGCTCAGAAAACCCTGGTCTGCTTTTGTTCTTATATAATTCTTGGTCAGAGCTTGTGGGTTATCATCTTGAAGCCTTGTGTTTATGTGCTGCACAGCTCTGTGGTTCTTGCTCTGGAGCAGAACCCCAGGCTCTGACCGCCCCCATACCAGTGTCTCAAAGAGGTACAGTCTTCCCATCTCAAAGATTACATGATTTTTTCCTCTGGTAACTGCCCCAAACTTCCAAGCACTCAGTGTTTCAGGGGACTGAAATGTCTTTTTTGCTCCCTATTCAAGTAACAGGGCTAGGTTTAGTTGTCACAGCTTCTGATACAGCCACACCACTAGAGAGTGTCAGAGCTCATGACGCCCCAGAAGGAAGCATCATCTTTACCTTTCTTCTCTTTATCTCCTTCTTCCCCCTCCTCCCCAATATCAGACTCTAATTGCTACTGCGCCCATCTTCTAGCAGGAAAGACTCCTTATCAGTGTTCTGTCTTTCCAGGAGGTCACTCTGGGATCCACCTCTGCATCCCACAAGATCACGCAAGAGAGCTGGGCACAAGATGAGCCAGCACACCATCAGCTCAGGTTGCTCCAGACCATCTGACTGAACCCAGAGAACCCCAAAATGTCTGCGTGCAGTGATTTTGTGGAGCACATCTGGAAGCCCGGGTCCTGCAAGAACTGCTTCTGCCTGCGGAGCGACCACCAGCTGCCAGCCAGCCGTCCCCAGCCCAGAGCAGGCAGTCTGCCCCCTCCCCCTCGCCTGCCCCCTAGGCCTGAGAACTGCCGTCTAGAAGATGACAGCTCACCCTACTCCAAGCCCACCATCGCTGTGAAGCCCACCATGATGAGCTCCGAGGCCTCCGATGTGTGGACAGAGGCCAGTCTGAGCACCGAAGTCCAACAGGTGAGGTTGACTAACCCCTGTGGAATTTTTACAGGGGCTGCTCCTATTCTAACACGTGGTGGCTGGCTGGCAGCCAGGCAGGGCTGTTAGAGCAAGAATCCTGCAGGATGGCTCTCTGTAGGCTTGCCCTGAGATTGCTCTTCGCTGACTGCTACTTGGCTATTGCCACCCTCTTTCTCTCTGTCCCTTTAGGCTAACAACCATTAATCCAGCACCTCAGAATCTCCCCTCTGATTTGGAGACTTGTAGGAGAAACAAAAATGAAGCTTTTTAAAAAAAAATTTTCAAAAATGATCAGCCAATAAATTTAACACAAATAGTAGTAAATACCATGTACCCTACACTTTTCAACATGAATTTTAACGACCATCAGCTCCTGGCCAATCTGGTTTCCATCCATCCCCTTCCCTATTTTAAAGCAAGTCCTCAACATTATATCATTTTAGTACATAAATTTAAAAGATAAAGTCATAGTCCTATTGTTTTGCTTAAATAATTGCATTTATGTAACTGAAAGATAAATCATATAACCTAATATGTCTTTATAAAAAATATAACCACAATGCCAAGACCATACTTAAAATATTAACAGCAATTCCTTGTTAAATGCTAACACCCAGCCAGTGTTCATATTTTCAATTCTGAAGCCTGATCTTGGATCAGTAAAACAGTTACACCCCAAGAGGTTAGACCCTTCTGCTCATCCCACAGGTAACCCTTACAAAGGTATAATCATTGAGAGGGCATGTAGCCATTCTAGTGGAGGTGTCTCAGAAGCTGTAGGTCTAGGATGTTCTAAGAACTGCTTGCTCCATGCTGACTTCTTTGCATGTTCTAGTTTCCCTCAGCCTGTGTGGTGAGTGGGTGAGGAAGTATGTGTGAGCCTATTCAAGAAACAAAGGTCAGTTTTAAATCAGGAGAGGCTTAAGTGAAGACAGGCATTTCCTGTGGTTGCAGTGAGCTCCAGGTCCCTTTTAGGGCTGCTCTGTTTTCCCTTAGCTGGTTACACCCATTCACCAAGCCATTCTGGACACCTCAGCGTTCACCTACATAAGTCAGGGACTCTCTTAAATTCAGAATCCTCTGGGAAACGAGCCAGATGCAAGCCCTACTTTGAGGCTGCTTCTGAAAAGGGAGGGGAGGGGAGCTCAAGAAGGGAAGGAAGAGAGAGCAGTGACTTCATTGATGGGAATTACCAGTCCACATCTCTTTCTCCTAGCCCAACTAGTTCAACCACTTAGTCAGGCTGTGGCTGAGGTCAGCACTGTTAAATAGAAGACTGAGCAGCTGTTTGGCATGGCCTGAAGGAAAGCTACCAAGAAGCAAGGAAGCCCAGACCCAGCTCAGAATCTATCCCTTAGCTTCCGGCTCTTCCCCGACAGTCCAGCACAGGTGTTTTAAAAGCCATGATTTCTATCTCTTCAGAAATGTACTGTGACAGGGTTATCAAAAAACCAACCAACACACAGCAAAAATTAAACAAAACCCAAAACTCTTTGAAAACACTTTTTTTTCCCCTGCCTCAGAGACTTAAGCCAAAGGCATTGCAGACCCTGGGGGTAAAGCACAGTTCAGTGTCTGGGAAAACAAATGGCTCTGGGTGGCCCAGCAACGATCTTAAGCTGGGCCGTGGGGAGATCAGAAAGTGGGAGTATGCATTGCTTGCCCTGAGTCCACACCTCCCAGGTGCCTGCTGCACCGTGGGAGGCTGTTGAAATTGTTCTGGCACTTTACTGTCACTTTTTCTCTCTTCCCTTTTGCTCTGACAACGTCTAATTTAAGTCTATTTAACCTTGGGGCTGTGTAGGTCATCTGGAGAAGAACCCCCAGCAAGTTACCCCTCCCGAAGCAGGATGACGTGCCCATGGTTTACCTGGGCAGCTTCCGAGGCGTGCAGAAGCCTCCTGGTCCCCCTGCCTGTGCAGATGGCAGCTCCCGCTGCCCCCCTGCCTATTCCATGGTGGGCCTGCACAGCCTGGAGGGCCACGGGGAAAGAAGCATCACCTTCCACCCAGTGAGTTTCCCAGAGGAGAAGGCTGGGCGGGAAGAGAAACCCTCATTTCCCCCCCAAGAGCTGCCCTCTGCTCAGGAGAGCTTTCGCCAGAAACTGGCTGCTTTTGCTGAGATGACATCTAGCTGTCCCAAGGGCACCAGGTCCTGCCAGTCTCCACAGCCCCTGCCGGAGTCCCTGCCCTCAGAGGATGACAGTGATCAAAAGTGCTCACCCTCGGGGGACAGTGAAGGTGGAGAATACTGCTCTATCCTGGACTGTTGCCCAGGGAGTCCCATTGCCAAGGACACCACACGTGCTGAGGATTCCCAGGGCAGACATGGTGGAGGGGACTGCTCACCCACGTGCTGGGAGCAGGGGATATGTTCCCGATCTGCAGAAGAGAAGCGGGTTCTAAGCTTCCCCAGGGAATGTTGTGGTCAGGGCCCGACAGCAAACCCACCCCATCTGGGCCCTAAGAAACTGGCACTTACTTCAGAGGCTGCCAGTTCTTCTGATGGCCTATCCTGTGGCAGCAGCAGTGGCACCAGCAGCCCCTTCAAACCCAACCTTGAGAGCGATTACTGTTCTCTCATGAAGGAACCTGCCCCGGGCAAGCAACAGGACTCTGGCTCCCACATGATGATCTCTAGCAAAAGCCTGGGGCTGGCTAAAGAACCCCAGGCCCCAGCCCAGCCCAGGGAGGCAGTGCAGCCTGAACCCATCTATGCTGAGAGCACCAAAAGGAAGAAGGCTGTTCCAGTGCCTTCCAGGCCACAAGCTAAGGCAGAATCTGCAGCGGTTCCTCAGAGCCAAGGCCAGGGCCAAAGCCAAGTATGTGCAGGTGATACCTGGGCTCAGAAAATATCATCTGGCCGGGGTCGGGACCATGAAGGCCCAGACATGGCTCCCCAGGTGGCGGCCACCATTACAGTCATGGCAGCCCACCCAGAAGAGGACCACAGGACCATCTACCTGAGCAGCCCTGACTCTGCAATAGGGGTGCAGTGGCCCCGTGGGCCTGTGACCCAGGACTTGGAGACTGGTGGGGAGGAGACTTCATCCCGACAGGGGCTGAGCTCCAGAGAAAACCATCCTCTTGACCTGACTGAGAACACGCCCAAGGGGAGGCCTGCCATTCCCCCCAAGCTGTCCAAAAGTAGCCCTGGCGGGTCACCAGCATCACCATCTGCCTCCCCACTGGCTGACCTCAGTGATGGGAGCTCAAATGGCAGTGGCATTGGGACCCAGCCTTCTTCCAGAGGCCCTGCTGACCCCACTTCGTCCTGCTGGATCAGTAGTGTTACAGCCAATGACCCCATTAGATGTCCCCCACCTGCTGCCTCTTCGGCAGCCTTGGACCAGAGGAGGCCCAAGTACCAGACTGGTGCCTGGAGTCGTCAGTGCCGGATAGAGGAAGAAGAAGAGGTGGAGCAGGAATTGTTGAGTCAAAGTTGGGGAAGAGAGACAGAAAATGGCACAGAGGACCATTCCAACTCCTCCACGTGGCATCGTCTCCACTCCAGTGATGGCTCCTCTGGACAGAGTAGCAAAACTGGAACTGGGATGAGCAAATCAGCCTCTTTTGCCTTTGAGTTCCCCAAGGACAGAAGTAGGATGGAGGCATTCTCACCTCCTCCCCCACCTCCAAAGTCAAGGTGAGTACCAACGTCTGTGTGAGATGATATAGTCTGGTTGTAAAGAAAAAATTCCCACCTGCAGGACCAGAAAACTTTGCTTTTGCTGCCCCTCTGGGAGGCCTTTTGGTCCAGCCTTGAGTCATGCCCTCCAGGAATGAGTCTTCAGAGAGCTTATGTTTGTACTCAGCAAACAAACCTTCCAACAATACACTGCTTGGGTTGGCTATTTAGAAGGAATCTTTCAAAGAATCCCCAGGGGCTGGGGTGCAGCTCAGTAGTAGAGTGCATGCTTAGCCTGCATGAGACCGTGAGTTCCATCTCCAGTACTAAAAAAAAAAAAAAAAAGTTCTGCCAAGCTGTTGCTCTTTTTGGGTGTCCATATTTTTGTAGGTACTCTTATCTCAAGTCTCTCTGAAGTGTCTTCAGCAAGTTTTTTCAAGGAGAGTCTGAAACTTTGCATTTGTTTAAACATGTAAAAGAGTATAGAAGGAGGTTGTGTCACAGGATTTGGGGAGGCAAAACCAAGTGTGTGCTCAATAAACTGTTACCTCAGTGGTGAGTAGGCCTTGGGGCCAAAATTAGAAAAGAGAAGTGTTTGCATGTGGTTAGTAACACTCAGATGTGGGTTTTTGTTTTTTTTTTTAAATTAAAAAAAATGTAGTTTCATGCTAGCCTGCTGAAACTCACAGCTTTCTCCACTGCCTTACTGTTATCCTGCCAGTTTAAAGTACCTTTCAAAGGCTCCAGAAAAATAAATGCCTTTTCTAAGCTGTTGAGCTGTGCATAGAATTTAAATTCTGGAAAAAAATTTCCCTTGGTGAAAGCAAAACTGGTTTTATCAGGGAAAGGTGAAACCTGCTGTTTTAAAAATAAAAATGACAGTGTTTCCAAACAGACTTTCTCTAATGTGTCATTGCCAGTGTTCTGTTTGAGCTGATGTGCCTCTAGGTTGATGTCAGAAATAAGGGACTTGACCACAGAGAAAAGCTTCTGCCATCCTTGACTTTGAACATCAAAGCTCTCAGGCTTTGATGGGATCTAACATGGGCTTGTTCTCATGACCACTGCTTGGTCTGGCATTGCCTTGGCCGTCCACCATGCAGATTAGACATCTTCTAGAGCCTTGAGTGATTGCAAACTCTCTGGCTCTTTGGCTACAATTTTAAACTAACTGAGTGAATGAGCAGTTCAACGGCTAAGAGGAGCTCCCATTTATATGGCACTTATTATGGGCCAGGTTTGATTTTAAGGATGTTGGACATACTAACTCATTTGATCCTTAGAACAGCCCGACGAGGGAAGAATTACCAGCCTCAGCCCACAGTCAGCAAAACAGAGATTGAGGACTGAAACAATCTGTGTAAGGTTATAGCAGTCCCTGGTATCCCTGACCCAAGTCTGTGCTCCTGAACATGTAACACATCGATGGGCACAGGACCCGATCGGGGTGTGGGAATAAAACATCACATTGTAGCTGTGCATTGGTCTGGGCGGGTTGGTGGAAGGCACCAGCCGTGGTGTAAGAAGACAAGGTTCACATTCCATTTCTCACAGCTGAGGAAAGCTGAGCAAGTCATTTACTGTGAACAGGGTCTCCAGCTTACTCTTCTCCAATATGGGATAATACTTCCATAATACCCTATGGTTGAAATGAGATGGACAGCAGAGTCCAGTGGGGAGGTTGTTTATTATGTAGGCAAAAGCCTCCTGGAGCTGTTAAGTGTGGTAATGCCACACATACCCCGTAGGAATTGGCCTCATCTAGTCCTGGAAATGCCACCTGCACCTTGGAGAAGTAACTAAAATTTTGTCACTAAGGATCACAGGGCTTGGAGAAATCCTGGTAACTATAGCAACATGACTCAGGAAGGGTTTTAATTAGCATCTAGGGTGAGATCAGAGTTTTTTGGTTCAGTGTGTTATGATAAAACTCTTGGAATATATATGTATGTAAATCTCAAATCAGGTGGGAATCTCACAGGTTCTGGGTTCCAGCTTTCAAGAACAAAACAAAAAGATAATATTATTCACAGGACTTTTGAGAGAAAAATTTAAGAAATAAAATTAACTTAAGGGAACTTTAGGGAAAAGAAATCATCTCATACTATTTAATATAAGTCACAGTAGTTCATTCAGAAAAGCATTTTCATTTTTCAAGCATTGGTGACCTTATCTTTTGAATCTTCCCATCTCCCCTGTGAAGAGATAAGAGGGCAGGCTTGAGAACATCAGCTGACTTAATTCTGGAGCTTACTTACTGAATTCCTGTAGGGAGGCTGCCAGGAACCCCAGAGTGCTCTGACCTAGCAGGTCAGGGTACAGACAAATCAGAGTCTTAGAGAGAATGCAGCCCACAGGTGATTCAGTACAATACCAAGACACACTGGTAAGTACAGCAGGCTGATGGCAATTGTCCTTTCCTTAGTCTCTCCTGCCAAGGCAAACACACCAAACACAATCATGGAACTCACCAAATCTCTGGATCACCCTGCCCGTTTAGGCAAGGTAGTAAACTCAGAATTGACAAGTAGTGTTGGTAGGAAATGAAACAACTGCCGACAAGAAGCATGGACTGTTATTTTAAATAAAAATCACCTTCAAAGACTTGGGGCGGTTTAATAAGAGTTGCAGTGCCTGGAGAAACAATAAGATGCATAAGAACCCAATTTCTTTCTGACCTTTATTTCCCACAGATGCAATCCTAGTTTGAAATGACCTATGACATTTGAGTGACAAGGTCAGTGAAAGGCGAGTCATCTGGTTGGGGCAGACAAGCGTTTCACAAAGAAACCCCAAATGAGAGTGATAGGCCTGTGTACAGAGTTGGAATTGAAGGTGACAGATGAATAAGAAATAAGACAGGTTTATGTGACTTCAGTTTCCAAATGGTCTTGTCCCAGGTGAGGCAAATCAAAAGAAAAGTTACTCCAAGAAAGTGAGAGGTGTCTTTCTTTTAATGTTTCCCTCTAGGACTGTTTTAATTTTCATCCACTTACTTGGGGATGCTGGACAGCAGAGGTTGAGTCAGTCTGTCTTGGGGATTTGGTCCCCTTTAAGTCCCCTCCTACATTGCTTCTCAGTAGACAGGTAGTGACAGTGCCACGAACAGAGCTCTTTTCTGTCCACAGAAGTGAACACTATGCTAACTGGAGGAACCAAAGGATTTCATTGTGAGATCTCTCCTGTAACATGGTCACTAACAGCATGACCCCAATGACAGGAATAGAGTGAGTGAGATGGCTATTTGTCACCAGCCTCCATGTCCAACTGCATTAAAAGCTTCAAGTGCTTTGTGCTGGACACACTTCGTACTGTAGCAAATTACAAGGTGGTGTCACCAGTTCACTAGGAAATCCTGTAGTCTAGACGCTTCTCTGTGGAAGCACTGGATTTAGAGAATATTCGCTAAGTACATTTAGCCTTTCTGACAAAATTTAAATGAGCAGGCTAGGGGTGGAGTTGGTCAGGGAGAATGAATACTGGGCACACTCCAGTGGGAGGAACTCCCCCCCCCAACCCCCACCATGCACACAGTTTGGCAAATGGAAAAAAAAATCATATGTATATCAAAAATGCCAGTTTATAATATGTGCCGTGCCAGATGAAAATTAATAGTTGGCCTCTTCCCATAAGAGTGTGGATAGAATGGAAACACGGACATCTCATAACCAGGGATATTGAAATTGATTCCTATCTTCTTGCTATTGATTGACAGCAGTATATGTAAAACTTTTAAGACCATCTGTCTAATTTTAAGCATACATCTTTGACTAAGGCTAAGGAGATTCTTTAATTCATTAGACATCTATGAATTGCCTAGATTGGACTGTGCAAGGTGCTAAAAATGCCAGTGACTGGGCTTCCGTCCCATAAGGACACTGAGAGATGAGTTGGTATGAATTAAATCAGCAGATGTGTGGTATAAACACCAAAGACTTGCCCCTGCTTTGATTCCCTGTGACAAGACTGATTCTTATAGGGTCTGAATTCTCCCCTCATTCTGTGATTCTGCATTCTGTTCAATAACACAAAGGGAAACACAGCCCGGTGTGCAGGAGAAATTAGGTTATAGTCCTCTCCTTTGCCAGGATTAGCACAGTCTTGTAGATAACCATTTATGTGTGTGTGTGTACATACATAATATGCCAGGTGCTCCTTGAAGATAAAGCACACACTTAAGCCATTTATAATTCCAGAAGGTCTACCTTGATGTATGACACATAGTAGATTTCAAGGAATATTTGTTAAATGGAAGTTGTAGGCTGCTTATGTCAGCTTCCAGTTAAGTACCTAACTTCATGCTTGGCACATATTCGGTGCTCAAGAAATGTTGAAAAAAGAAGCAAGTAGCTTGGAATATGAAGTATCCTGAACCCAGGTCTCCTGGTAGCATTTGTGCTCTGTCCACCTCTATTTTAGCAGGTAGCAGTGTGTTTTGCATTGCATTAAAATGGGTCCATATCTGCATCTCTTCAAGAAATTGTTAACTTTTAAAGTCATATTGCACCAAATTAAACAATGCGTGGCCTGATTTTTCACTGGACACACATTGTAATCCATGCAATAGATCATTGTCACCTTGAGTTAAAAAAGTTGAGGTTAATAATTGTTAATGCTTCAAGGTAGACAAACAGCATGCCGGCACAATGCATCCATTCATGGAATAATTACTCTCCAGTGATTGTACACTTCACTTTTGCACTAGGTTCTATTACTCTGTTTTTTTTTTTTCCTTAAGCTGAGCAGGTGTGTAGAGCCAGCCCTCTCTTGCCACAAGAATGTTCCTTTCAAGTAGTAATCATCTAAATACTTTTTTTTCTACCAGTGAGTTACAAGGAATTCTAGGGTGTGGTTTTGCTTCTCTGAGAAACAGATTTTTTTGTGTTTTCTGTGGGGGAGGGGGAATGATGTTGGAAAACACAAACTTGGGCTGCATGAACAAGCCCCCTCTGTCTATCATGCCATCTTTGTTCGTGGAGTGACTTGCCTGCTTTGGGGGTGTGGAAGTCACTAATAGG